AGAGTAATAGGGTATTTTGGGGTGTGAGCCCCTTGATTGGGGGAGGATCCTTTCTCATCGACTTGGATCACATCAATTTCTACTATATCATTCTCATATTGATCCCACTTAGGTGGGTTGTCGAAGTTTTGTTGGGAAGGGGCCCCTTTTAGAAGATCCAATCAATCTTCTTGGGGTCTTCGATGTGAAGGTACTGATTTTGGGGAACTATAAATTGGGCCCGATGACGATGTTCCCTTTCGGGTTGTTGTGAATCTCGGGATTTTCAGCTGTTGTTGCTGTGTTTTCGGGAAAGGGGTTCACGAAGATACCCGTCTTTTGACTGGGCTCTTCAACTGGTGGCGTGAGCGTGAGTTTTGCAGAAAGTAGCCATGCTGGGGGTACCCCAAAGCAGCAGCTTTCTTTAAGGGAATAGTGAATGGGGACAACTTGTGTTCCGACTTTTCCCTGTTTTAACTAGTCCCAAACAGGTGATAACAACAATAACATGGAAAGTTAGGCACTTTCACCGCTTTACACAGTTATCAAACTCCCCCTTAGCGTTTAAGATATAAACCAGATAGGATTCATCACAGTCAGATATAGTCATAAGCTGTTGTGTATTCCATAAACCCATCTTAGTGACCTTGGTTTGATCCAAAAGTTTTAAGGATACCTGAGAAATGACTCAACAATTTATAGTTCAAGTTTTATATGCTTTGGACATCTATAAGGGTTGGAACCTGATTCACCGTAGTCTGTTCTATATGGTTGATTGCAGTGAAGTTGAAAGTTGTGATCTGCAGATCCAAGTTGGCTGGGACTGTGAATCCATTGAGGAAGGCACAATAAGCCTTCACTTAAATTCCATAGGATTTGGATACGTATAAGTGGTGAATTGAAATTTTCCGCAATCTAGCTTGTGTATAAACATGGCCTGAATACAGAAAATAGTCAGATTGAGTATAATTAGCTCATTTTGATAGGATACTGTGATTTGTCAAATTGAGTATAATTAGCTCATTTTGATAGGATACAAGGTGGGTCAATTGAGGAGGGCAGAACAAGCTTCTTGTTCAAACTCATGTGATTTGGACATGGTTTGATCGCCTTCTATCCGCTTGACTGCGGCAAACTTAGAAGGTCCATCCAAATGATGTTGTATTGAGTTGAAAGTTAATTGGTTTTACAAGGTATTATAACCGTATTGACCAAGTTTCATTCATTTTGGAGGTCGTTTGATGCATATTCGAATTGTTGCTCCTGTCATAGTGTTCTTGAGCTGCTTGACTGTTGCAGGAGAATGGTTTTCGTGTTTTTCTATTCAAAAGTGATACCTATGAGTCCAAAATCATTCAGAAAGTTTTATGGATAACTTTTGATTTTTCTTGATGAATTTTGAACGAACTAAAGTCTTTAATCGATAAGAACTATGATGAGATAAGAATACCCTATGTCTGATTTTTGTGGAATCTAGAATCTTTAGAATACTCGATTACATGTTTTATCCTAATCAATCAGGACAGTGCTTGAGGATAATCTTGGATGGATAATTCTTAATCTGGATAAATAAACTTCAAGATTCTTCAACAAAATCATTGGGTTCTGACCATAGTTACCGGGAGCAAGAGCGTCTGATCGACGGCTGCCCAAAGCTCTGGAGCTCGGGGAGCGAGTTTCGGTGAGAATAGTAGTTACGAATTGAGATCCTGTTTGGACAGGGAACGAGTTCCCGATACATTGGGATCGAGATCCTTATTTAGCGGGAACGCGTTCCATGTAAAATGTGACCGTGTTCCCATGTTCATTAGGATCGCACTTCCATGACATTGAAATGGAAATAATGCGCATAAAGGATATCATTAAAAATACTTTTAAGTATTCATGTTCCCTGTGAACTCGCAAAATCATATTATGTAAAAAGTAAATAAACCAAATGTTTTCTATAATTTTATTATTTTCGTCTTAATCTCTAATGAACAATAAATCGATTTTTATATTTCATTGTAAAGAGTAATTCAGGTTTGTCCGTTATGGCACTAAACAACAATTTACTCCATCAGTAGCACAAACGTTTTGTGTTGTGTTAACATGAATTCTAAAACACACAAGTGAGTGAGGCATCCAATATTTTAACAATTAAAAATTTGGTCATTACATGCGCATTTAATGGGCATCTTAAAAATAAAAAATAAAGGAGTTAATATTTTAATAATAAAAATTTATCATTACATGCATTAAGTGCAAAATTGATCTATCGATTTTTTAAAGACATATTTCTGTGAACTCGCATGACCATATTATGTAAAAGCTAAATAAACCAAATGTTTCCAATACTTTTTTTCTTTTCGTCTTGATCTCTAATGAACAATAGATCTATTTTTATATTTCATTATAGAAGAGTAACTGAGGTTTCTCCTTGATGGCACTAAACAACAATTTATGCCATTGGTAGCACAAATTTTTGTGTTGTGTTAACATTTAGTCTAACACACACATGAGTGAGGGCACGGGATCTACAATGTAAAGGAACATGTTCTGTGTGAAAGTGGGATCGAGATCCGTGCGATTGTGAGATTGAGCTCCGTTATGAATAGGATTGAGAATCCTATAAATAGGAGCGAGCTCCCAAAAAAATTGGATTGGGTTCCGCACGGGATCTCGGCCATGGAGCACCGGAGCTGGGTTTCAGAGCGAGAGCGCCACCCTATTTGGGCGCTCCCGGTAACTATGGTTCTGACTAGTTGCAGAGCCAACTGTGGCGACCGTGGCATTCAAGCTTTCCGAGGTTTTAGGTCCTAAATCTCATGATTTGCTAATGGGATAAGCTTAAATTTGCAAGTTTTCTATCCTCTCATGAGTTTAGTTGAGATTATAGCTTGTAATTGGGAATCATTTCAAGAATCGGAATCACGGAATCGCGGGTTGCCAAATGATTTTTAAAGTTGAAATTCCTGTTTCGTAGCACATTAAGTGCAATAAAGATTCCTACCTTATTGGAATTGGGTCCCATCAACTTGGAATCCAGATTCCTAACTTATGGGAATCCCACATGAAACCACTTGGAACGAGGCCACAAATTACCAGAAAAGGAATTCCAAAGGGCAAAAGGTTTAAGTTTTTAGATTATCTATAAGCAAGAATTCCTAGTAGTGGGCTCCATATCTTGAGTATATTATTCAGGGTGGTTCACCTATTATTGGTATCGGTGTCTTTGACTGCCCTCCCCTAACATTGAGGTCGATGTATTGGGTGGCCTTTATCATAGCTCTCCATAAGTAGTAGAAACAAGGTCGAATACCCTTAACTAAGTACTTTCCTAGAGTTTTTAGATTGAAATAGGAAAAAAAGTACTTATTTTATTAATACTCTTAACTAAGTACTTTCCTAGAGTTTTCAGATTCAAAAATGATGTCGTTTTTAGATGCCCAACATATATTAATTATTAATAAATTTAAATACCAAAAAATTTCAAATTATGTTTAAAAACTTCCAAGCATTACATAAAATTTTGGCAATCATCGTACCACGTGATGTTTAGATTCATTATACTACTTGACTTATTAAAGCGTGGTAACAAACTTAGGACATGACTTGTTAAAGCGTACTAGGGAAATCATGCCTGTGTACAAAACATACAAAATTACAAAATACATATATACCTCAAAATGAAACTTCATTTTTAACGCCTTATGTTCTAATTTGTAGGATTGGAAGCCAATTGTATGTCTCTCACCTTCACTCACATCGTGCTACTTTCGAGGATTTATTCTTTTTCAACCTCTCACCTGCGCCCTACATTTATTTCTATAGTATATATGCAACTGATGTTTGCGTAGTAAAGAAGGTGAGTACATTTAATATGTGAGAGAAAATAAAGTAATACTTTTTTAATACAAAAACGTGACAGTGCGCTTTAGACTATGTCTACATTAGCGTGACAATGCGCTTTACAGTTACAAGCGTGTAATAATGTACTTGGGGGAGAGATTTAATGTAGTGCGGGGTTTCGTAGAATGCCGAGCGGTGCCTAGGTGGCCAGGACGGTCTAGGTCGCCTTCCGCCTAGGCAGGCCCATAGGGATCTGGCCTGCCCAGGTTCAGCAGGGGGTGTCTAGGAATCCTGTTTTATGTTCAAATTTTGTGTGAAAGATGCATATTTAGGAATTCAAAAAAGTGGAATCGTGATTCCTATCTTCTAGGAATCAAGATTTGTGGTGATTCCTTCACGGAAATCTCGAATCGTGGCTCCTGATAGGGGAATTGCTACCTAGGGTGGAGGACTCCGGTAATTATGTTGAGATAATGGAGTTTTAGATAAGAATAATTATGAACTTTATATAAAGGGTTCTTTTGGCTGACCCCAAATAATTGGGATAAGGCTCGGATGATGATGGTATTAAGGGGTCTTCAAACTCGATCATAACAAGCGTTTAAGTTCATTCGTGAGCCAAGAAACTCTTTTGAATTGGAGCCTTTGCACTTTTAGAGCTTTCTTATACCTGTGAGTCGCAGTAAACTACCATGGAAGAGAGATCTGAATAATCTTCTGGTACAAGAAGCTTGAAGGAAGAGCATAACACAACATGCCTTCATAATACACAACATATACAAAGATTTTATACATCTTCGGGATTAGTGTTTGTAATCTTTTCTTTCTTTTGAGTTTTTGTAATGCTCCCACTTAGAGCATCATGAGTTTGAGGGGGGCTTTATGGGAAGCCTATATTATAGATAGGGTGTTATGGAAGGTGTGTATTATGAGCAAGTATATGGGAAGGGTAGGTGTAGCATCTTATTTATGGTAAGTGTAGGTGTCTATGATTCTCCCCATCTTATTCATCCCTTGTTTGTATATATATAGAGGTTTGTATATTCAATATTGATATCAATAGATACAGAGTTCTCTTCACAAAAACTTGAAGCTCTTTCATTTTATGCATCTTGTTAAACAAAATAAGACATCTTCTTGATAGTTGATTTGAGGTTTCCTTAATAAAGTAGATGAAATGTAATATATAGCAGGTTAGGGATGAACTGCAGCATCTTCTTGACGACGATGAAGATATGGCCCAACTATACTTAACAAGGAAGCATCTCCAGAACCAGCAACTCGAAGCTGCTGTTGCGGTGGTGGGTTCAAGTAGCCTCACTACAACACCTCACCTGCCTAGGCTTAATGTGAACCTTCAGAGTAGTGCAAGCTTTGTCACCAGTGCTCATTCTGATGACTATGATGTGGAAGATTTGGAGATGTTGCTTGAAGCATATTTTATGCAGCTTGAAGGGACCCGTAACAAAATTCTCTCGGTGAGTGCCTCATTTGCATTGTGTTGTTTATTTATTTATGTTTGTTGGCACACCTTTTTTTTTTTTTGGGAGTTGTTTGACTTTGATAAATATAAATAATACATTACCACGAAAGTGGTAAAAAATGGCAGCCCATAGGTTGGGTGCTCAGGATACAAATGGCAGCCCATAGGTTTGCTGGCACGCTTGTGCAGACTTCTTCACAGTATCTTTTTAAAACTAAACATTTTAGTTTATGATAAACAAAAATGTGATATTTGGGATTCGTTTTGCCGATGTAATTGATCTATTTGACGCTTCGTTACAGGCTTATGCAACGTGTTTTGATACAATTACAGTTTGGGGTGAGAAAAACCCTTGTTTGGTAATCAATAAATCATCATCATAGCCAATGCTTTTTCCCAACTAATTGGGGTCGGGCTACATGAATCCCGGTCCGTCAGTCTGCTCTATTAAGGGCCATACCCTCAGTGAGGTCATAAGTCTCCATATCTTTTCTCACTTCTTCCAACCATGTCCTTTTGGGCCTACCACTTGCCCTTTTTGAGTTTTCCACTTGAACTAACTTGCACCTCCTAATAGGTGTTGTACTGGGTCTGTGCCATACATGGCCAACCCACCTAAGTCTACTCTCTCTCATCTTATTGCTTATTGGTGCCACACCTAATTTTTTGGAATGTATTCATTTCGAATTCTATCCCTTTTTATCTTGTCAGTCACCCTTCTCAACATCCCCATCTCTGCTATACTCATTCTATGGGTTTTGACTGCCCAGCAATCCGCCCCATAGAGTAAAGCTGGTCCATACTAGAACTTGCCGTTCAATCACATAAAATTCCTGTTGCACATCTCCACTTCGCCCACCCAGCTCTAATTCTATGTGTGACTTGTGACATGTTCCTTAATCTCTTTTTTTTTTGGATTATCGACCCAAGATATCGAAAGTACGCTCTTTTTGGTATTTTTTTACCATATAATGAGCTTACATCATAATAGATCATCACTGCTTCTATTCATTTATGTAGCATAAACCAAAAGCCGTTGCTTCATTGTATTTTTTGTGGTGATAATGGTAGTTGTGACTGTCTGGATACCTATTGTGTTAATCGTATCAAAGAGAAAATATGCAAGCTCTTTGATGTGGCCCAGAGTACTGCTCCCGAGTATCTAGATAAGAGACAAGCTTAAAGTTTACAAGAAGAACCGCAAAAGGGAAAACTAGTCTTTGAATATGTCTTTTATGTCTTCTCTTTATTTGTTAAGTCATTTTATTTATTTAGGGGCTTACACAGTAATTTCTAAAGTCTTTTATGTCTTTTTATTTATTAAAAGTCTTTTATAATAAATGGCCACGATTAGTTTAGTGGGATGGCCAGGATTTAAGTTTTGTTTAGGGTTTTCTTATATAAGGAACATATCGAGCATAATGAAGCATCTTGTTATGGATTTTTATTCAAAACCCTAGAGTCGCAAGCACTTTTTATTTTATCTCTGATTTTTACATCTTTCTCTAGTTTTGGATCTTTCCTATACTCTTCTTTGCTAAACCCTAGCCCAAGTTACTAGGTCTACGCCATGTTGATATCAGAGCTCGACGATTGGTACGGACGGTATTATAGCTCGTTACTGTAAGCACATCACTGTAGTACGATATTGTAACATCAAATTTCGTGCCTATCAATAATCTATCCGAGGAAATGCATGGAGAAACTTTATTTTCATCAAATGGGTCCCAAGTTCAGCACGTTGCAGCCCAGAATATTGCTTTTGAGTATATAGATAAGAGAGACAGGTTTAGAGTTTATAAGAGAAACCACATAAGGGTAAAATTGTCATTGAACTGTCCTTTATGTCTTTTTATAGTTCTTGAGTCATTTTATTTACTAAGTGGCATAAGTAGTAATTTTTAGAGTTGTTTGTCTTTTTATTCATTTAAATGTTTTTAAAATGACCATAATTAAATTAGATGGCTAGGAGTAAGTCTTGTTTTGGGTTCTCTTATATAAGAGGTGTACTCAAGCATAATGAAGCATCACTTTTATTCAAAACCCTAGAGCAGCAAGTGCTCCTTTTATTTTTGGTTTTTGAATCTTTCTCTAATTTTGGATCTTCCGTATCTTCTTTGCTAAACTCTAGCTCCAAGCTACTTCTTCTTTGCTTGAGGATGGCAAGCATTCTTTCAAAGGTGATCTTATCTACGATGATCCAGTTGATGAAGACAACCCGAAAGTGAGCTATAATGATCATGGGGACTTACCACCAATCTTTGGTGTGTACCTTGATGAGGATTCGAGTTTGGTAGAAGAATCAATTTATGATGAAGAAGTTGGTGAGCCGACCTTTGATGAAAAGAAAGGAGGTCCTATTTTCAATGAAGAACATGCTATTGGCCAGGAAAGGGAGAATCAATTTATGATGAAGAAGTTGGTGAACCGACCTTTGATGTAAAGAAAGAACGTCTTATTTTCAATGAAGAACATGCTATTGGCCAGGAAGATAATGGTGGTGAAGATGAGGGTGATTACTCTGGGCTATTGGTTTTGTTTTGAGTGGAGAGCCTCAGCAACAACTCACCAAGTTCTAACAGAAAGAGGTTGTGGCTGCCATGAGTTCATCTTAACCCATTTTAGAGTTTGTAAGCAAGTTATCTCAGGTCTGTTAATTAGTGGAGAAAATGTGAACGTGATGGATAAAGTTTCTCTGAGAGATGCAGTAATTTGGAACACATTTGAATTTGGTCTCATCAAAATTTGGGAAAAGTGCATATTCCTCGTTGATCATAGACTATGCGAATCTAGCACTATTGTTGATTGCAGTTAAGTACTGCCCATCTCTTGAATGGTATGGTGTATTAGAATGGACTTTCTTTATTTGGACAAAGAAGCATGGTCTTGATAGAGACGAAGCAGTAAATTGTTTACTATGGCAGAATGAAGCTTCATGTTGGGAAACTTACTTTCCCTTACTAATTTCTCATGTTGTATTTGCCAAGATAGACATGAAGGGGTTTCATGATCTGGTAGTGCCAAATGTTCTACTGAGAGGTTGCAATGTGTTTGATGTTTTATTTGGTCCAAAACAGGTGACTGTGTTCTTTGTTGAAGACAATTCATTGGAACTGTGCCTTCATAAACTCATGGAGTATGATGCTAAATAGAGGGCAGCCGCTGACAAGCATCGCTAGCATAGGAATTTTGATGTTGGAAATTTTGTGTGGGCAGTCTTGACTAAGGATAGATTCCCAGTCAGGTAAATATCAAAAGTTGAGCCAACACAAGATTGGACCATTTGAAGTGGTGCAGAAGATCAATGATAATGCCTACAAATTGAAGCTTCCATCCATATTCTCACTTCCAATATTTTTAATGTCAAGCATGTCATTCCATATCGTGGTGGTACTTCCGACGACTAGCTGATGAATTCTTTTGTGGAAGGGGGGATTGATGCAGCTTAGGAGACTGCTCTTGGGTATCTAAATAAGAGCGATAAGTTTGAAGTTTACAATAGGAACTGTAGAAGGGCAAACTAGTATTTGAATATGTCCTTTTATATCTTTGCTTTATTTCATGAGTTATTTTATTTATTTAGGGTCATAGATAGTAAAGTCTTTTATGTCTTTTTTATAATAAATGGCCATGATTAGATTAGTTTGATGGCTAGGATTAAGTCTTGTTCAGGGTTTTCTTATTGAGGGGATGTATCAAGTGAAGCATCTTTTTGTGGACTTTTATTCAAAACCCTAGAGCAGCAAGTGCTCTGTTTTTATCTCGGAGTTTTACAACTTTCTCTAGTTTTAGATCATCCCTATCTTCTTCTTTGCTAAACCTTAGCCCAAGCTGCTAGGTCTGCCTGCTCTTTATCTTTTTAGTGGCTTGCTTAGTTCATGTCTATAGCCCCTGTTAATGAATTTGAACCTTTGGAAGTAACTGTACATAGAATACGGACGGGATTTTCTTTTTGGGCTTAAAAGGAATTGTGTATATGCGATGCTGATCTGTTTTAGACTTTTAGGAGATGATAGACTTTGGGAGCATGTCAGGTCCTTGCACTTAGGCTTCTATGTTTTGATGCTTGGTCAAGCAGGGAGGTTTTGGTCATTCTAGGGACATCACCGTGAAATCGTTTAATATCCATGTTCGTCACATGCAGAACCATTCTGGAGACTCTTTGGGGCAGGATGTATCAGTTGTGTATATTCTGTTATACAGATCCCTTTTTGGATCAGTAGTGTCCATGATATCAGTTATTTCCTTTAATAATTTTCCAGCAGGGTGGTTAAGTGCATCACTTTATTACCACTCGCATGATTCAGCCATAAGAAGGTATATTCTTAGTGGAAGAGAGATTGGAGTCCATGTTGTCGTTGTCCTTTGTGGCATTCCTTGTTTCACAATTCAAGGAAATTCTTTCTTTCTGCTGTAAGAAATATTTGGGGTGTCTCAATTGAAAAGTCTGATTTAGTACTCTAATGTGGAAATTTTGTTTCTTCTAAAGGGAGGATTATCTAAAATTCTAATTTTCCTAAATCTGTAATCCACTTTTAATAGTTTGAATCATTTTCTTTGATAAAGGATGACAATAATATGAATCATTTCCCTTTCTTATATCTGGAATGCACAATCTGATGTCCCTTTTCAGCTGTGAACCTCTGGAATGCACAATCTGATGTTCCTTTTCAGCAGTGAACCTGTGTGTGTGTGTGTGTGTGAGAGAGAGAGCGAGAGAGAGAGAGAGAGAGCGAGAGAGAGAGAGAGAGAGAGAGAGAGAGAGAGAGAGATTTGGTCTGTACTATGTCATAAGAGATCCTGCCTTCATAATTGTGTTTTGTAGGACGTCACTCTCCATTCATGAAGAGTCCTCACAGTCGCGCCTTGACTGGAAATTATCTTATGTATCATAGTACAATAGATTTCTTGGATATTACATAGTACGCACACAAAATTTAAACTTTTATTCCCTCAATGAATTCTACAGGTGCGAGAATATGTTGATGATACAGAGGACTATGTCAACATCCAACTTGACAACCACAGAAATGAACTCATCCAGCTTCAACTGATATTGACCATCGCTGCCTTTTCCATTACCATAGAGACTTTGATTGCAGGTGCCTTTGGGATGAATATCCCGTGCACACTATACGATATTAAGGGTATCTTTGGCCCCATTGTTGGAGGCACTTCCTTTGCTTGTGTGTTGATCTTCTTCTTCGTGCTAGGATATGCCAAATCCAAAAAACTGCTCGGTTCATGATTCATACGTGAATATTGCATGGAGAGAGAGAGAGAGAGAGAGAGAGAGAGAGAGAGAGAGAGAGAGAGAGAGA